GTACTTCATTCAGGCATGAGTTATATGCTGTTGTCTGTGGGTTTGATACCAGTGGGCTGGGGAGGTGCCCAAACACAGGGGGGACTTTAACCCCAGGCTCTTGACCTCATTACGAAAAGGAATTCAAAGATGAGTCAGAAAATAGTGAAAGTACAGAGACTTATTACAAGGTGAAAAGTACATACTCAAGAAAGAGGAATGCGGGCCTACTCAAGAGAGAGTCGAGCAATGGTTTGGGGTTTCTATCTTTATGGGTTTCTTTCACAAAGAGGTGGAATATTCATAAAAATTCCTGGGAAAACGTACAGATTTCTTGGAGCGGTGGTGTCACCCATTTTTGTGCCAAATCTGAGTGTTCCTGTAACTGTCATGGTGCTGGTGGTTGTGTGTTTAGTATATTAATGAGCCCACAATGAGGTCCTAAGGGAAGCCTAGGTCAAGCCCAGCACCATGTTGGGTCCAGTCAGTCTTAGCCAGCTTGGTTCACATCTTGGGTTTTCAGGGTCTTAGCAGATGATAGTCTCTAGTCATGTAAAACTGCTGCCTGGAATTTAATTCTCCTGTGACCACCCTGTATTATTCTCGTCCCATTTTCAATGTTAATTAATGAGTCAATAACAGACATTAAATAAGGCTTCTTTTTGTTTGTTTCTGTTTTGTTTTGAGATGGAGTCTTACTCTGTTGCCCAGGCTGCAGTACAATGGCACGATCTTGGCTCTCTGTAGCCTCCATCTCCGGGGTTCAAGTGATTCTCCTGCCTCAGCCTCCCCAGTATCTGGGACTGTAGGCACGTGCCACCACGTCCAGCTAATTTTTGTATTTTTAGTGGAGATGGGGTTCCACCATGTTGGCCAGGCTGGTCTCGAACTCCTGACCTCAGGTGATCCACCCGCCTCGGCCTCCCAAAGTGCTGGGATTACAGGCGTGAGGAAACTTAAGTGACATCATAAATCTAAAGGGGAGGAAGTGTGCAGCATTTCCCACCGGGGTCCTGGTTAGGATTCACTATGACGCACCTTGGGACGGTTTCACTCGAGTGCTGGAGTTACGTTTAGTGTTTAGAATTGGTCGAATGTGCCCAGGCATGCTGGAACACAGATGACAAGATAGGGTTTGTGGTTGCCATGAATATCTCAAAAGACAGGAAGCAGCCCTTTATTTCCCAAATACGCTATTGTTCAAATCGGTGACACTTGTTTATTTACTACTCTACACAGAAAGTTGATCCACATAATTCTTGAAAAACCATTCAGGTTCTGCAACACTCTACAGGTTTGTTTCTTTTTCTTCTCTAGGCAAAGCAGTATCAAATCATATACCTTCTTCTCAAAGAACAATTTTCCCACTTATTTGCAGTCCTTTTGAGTGGACTGACCCGAACCTCTGGCAATAATTTAATAAGGAATGGATAGGAAGGTTTATACCTCAGCGATTGCATTCTATATACTCCTTTAATGTGTATTGGGATTAAGTTGGGGTTTTTGTTGTTGTTGTTGCTAAAGAGCATTTCTCCTAAAAAACAGTTTTCTATTTTAAAACACTCTTTTTCGGCCGGGCGCGGGGGCTCATGCCTCTAGTCCTAGCACTTTGGGAGGCTGAGGTAGGAGAATTGCTTGAATCCGGGAGGTGGAGGTTGCCCAACTGCTCGGGAGGCTGAGGCAGGAGAATTGCTTGAATCCGGGAGGTGGAGGTCACAGTGAGCCGAGATCGTGCCACTGGACTCCAGCCTGGGCAACAGAGCGAGACTCTGTTATGAAGTGACTCTCTTTATTTCTTTTCTTTTCTTTTTTTCTGTTTTTGAGACAGAGTCTTCCTCTGTTGCCAGGCTGGAGTGCAGTGGTGCGATCTCAGCTCACTGTAATTGCCACCTCCTGGGTTCAAGAGATTCTCCTGCCTCAGCCTCACAAGTGGCAGGGACTACAGGTGCACGCCACCATGCCCAGATAATTTTTGTCATTTTTAGAGAGACAGGGTTTCACCACGTTGGCCAGGATGGTCTTGATCGCCTGACTTCATGATGCCCCTACCTTGACCTCCCAAAGTGCTGGGATTACAGGCGTGAGCCACCATGCCTGGCCAACCTTCTTTATTTCTAATATTGCTTTCTAAAGAATCAACTTTGACCAGGCCCAGTGGCTCACACCCATAATCCCAGCACTTTGGGAGGCCGAGGCAAGTGGATCAGCTGAGGTCAGGAGTTCAAGACCAGCCAGGCCAACATGGCAAAACCCCGTCTCTACTAAAAATACAGAAAATTACCTGGGCACTGGTTGGCGCCCGCGGTGACTCACACCTGTAATCCCAGCACTTTGGGAGGCCGAGGTGGGCAGATCACGAGGTCAAGAGATCGAGACCATCTTGGCCAACATGGTGAAACCCCATCTCTACTAAAAATACAAAAATTAACTGGGTGTGGTGGCACGCATCTGTAGTCCCAGCTACTCGGGAGGCTGAGGCAGGAGAATCGCTTGAACCAGGGAGGCAGAGGTTGTAGTGAGCAGAGATCGCACCACTGCACTCCAGCCTGGTGACAAAGCGAGACACTGTCTCAAAAAAAAAAAATGAAAGGTAGCTGGGCGTGGTGGCAGGTGCCTGTAATCCCAGCTACTTGGGAGGCTGAGGCAGGAGAATTGCTTGAACCTGGGAGGCGGAGGTTGCAGCAAGCCAAGATCGTACCCCTGCATTCCAGCCTGGGCCACAAGAGCAAAATTTCACCTCAAAAAAAAAAAATCAACTTTATTGGGGGTATAATTAACATAGAATAAAATGCACCTATTTTAAGTGTTCAATTCCACATGTGCATGCACACACGTTAACTACCATCATAACCCATAATCTATTTTTCCATTTTTGACTTTTACCTTTTTTCTTTTTTTGAGACGGAGTCTTGCTTTGTCCCCCAGGCTGGAGTGCAGTGTGGAAAACCCACACATTGGGCTGGGCACAGTGGCCCACACCTGTAATCCTAGCACTTTGGGAGGTCGAGGGAGGACTGCTTAAGGCTAGGAGTTTGAGACTAGCCTGGGCAATGTAGTGAGACCTCTGTCTCTACCAAAAATTTTAAAAAAACCATTAGCTGGGGATAGTGCACACCCATAGTCCCAGCTACTTGGGAGGCTGAGGTGGGAGGATGGTGTGAGCCTTGGACATCAAGGCTGCACTAAGCCATAATTGTGCCACCACAGTCCAGCCTGAGTGACGAGAGAAAGATCCTGTCTTGAAAAAAAAAAAGAAAACCTACACATGGATATCAGAAGTGTTCTGAGTAGAACAAGCTTTTCCTTTATCAGTTTTGGCAATTACGCATACAGCTGCTATAAACGCTTCCTACAGATATTCGTGTGGACGTATGTTTTCATTTCCCTAAATACCTGAGTGGGACTGCTGGGTCATATATATACGTATGTTTAACTGCCAAACTGTTCTCCAAAGTGGTTGTACCATTTTCCATTCCCACTAGCAACTCCATGGGAGTTCAGGTTGCTCTGAGTCTTCACAGATACTTGGCATTTTCATTTTGGGCCTGGAAGTGGGGTTGAAGGGAACCCCCGGGACGCTGGTGCCACTGTTACTGAGTGTTCATTCCACAGGGAGGTTCGGTTTGTGAAAATTCATCAAGCTGTAAACGTATATATGCACTTTTCTGTACATATACTAATCCTTAATAAAAACTCCTTAAGCCATATAAAATACATGTGAACTAAATTAAGTAACAATTTATTGAAATTAACATGCTTTAAAAAAATCGAAATAAAAAAAACTCAGAGTAAGTCCGTAGCAGCCTGGTTTCATAATCCTGAAGATTTTTCCCCGGCCATCCACGGTGAATACCTAAAAACCAAATCAATACTTCTGAACATTATAAGAGGCATGTCAGGAGGCTCAGTCCAATAACGCATATTTAATTTCACTCCTGTCCCCATCAATGATTCACTTTTATTCTCAAAATTCTCATAATTGTAATATTCTTAGTTTTGTGTTCAGAACATAAAAATAAACCTTCTATTTTCAAATAATGACAATAAAGGGTGGAGCATGAAGGGGAGTGTTGGCTTCCTCCCGAATGGGAACTCCCTTTAATGACAGAGAACAGCTCCTTCCAGAGGGAGTTTCCAGTGACAAGGGAAGGGCTTCTGCCTGGTGTGACAAAGGTGGCACCATGGAGGGGTTCGGAATGGTTTGGGACTCAGCGACTTCAAGTCGTTCCAAACTCTAGAGAATCCTCTTCCAAACACCAGAGTCCTGCTCTTTTGTAATCAGTAATAGTAACAACGGGTCCAGGTGCAGTGGCTCATGCCTGTAATCCCAGCACTTTGGGAGGCCAAAGTAGGCAGACCATCTGAAGTCAGGAGTTTGAGACCAGCTTGGCTAACATGGCGAGACCCCGTCTCTACTAAAAATACAAAAATTAGTCGGGTGTGGTAGTGCACACCTGTAATCTCAGCTACTAGGGAGGCTGAGGCAAGAGAATTACTTGAACCCAGCGGGTGGAGGTTGCAGTGAGCCAAGATCGCGCCACTGCACACCAGTCTGGGTGACAGGACAAGACTCCATCTAAAAAACAAAACACACAAAAAACAGTGGCTAATATTTACTCAGTCCTCTCTGTGTCATGCCCCA